TAAAACTTAGATCGCCCATTGTGGCCCCACCCTACCCCCGGGGGTCATGATTTGAACAAAATTGAATCTACATTACCTGAGGATGCTTCCATAAAAATATGACCAATCATGGCTTTGATGTTCTTGAGAAGAAGATTAAAATTTTTAAAGATTTTTCCTATGTATTACTATGTAAAGCTTTGATTGCTTATTGCGGCCCCACCCCAAGGATCATGATTGAAACAAACTTGAATCTAAACTACCTGAGGATGCTTCCATATAAATATGACCAATCATGGCTCTGGTGTTCTTGAGAAGAGGAATTTTAAAGATTTTCCTTATGTATTCCTATGTAAAACTTGGATTGCCCATTGTGGCCCCACCCTATCACCGGGGACCATGATTTGAACACTTCTGAATCTTCACTACCTGATGATGCTTCCATATAAATATGACCAATCATGGCTTTGCTGTTCTTGAGAAGAAGTTTTTAAACATTTTCCTGTATATTACTATCAATACTATGTAAAACTTTCATCCCCCATTGTGGCCCTACCCTACCCCCGGGGGTCATGATTTGAACAAATTTGAATCTACACTACCTCACAATGATACCACATAAGTTTCATGTTTTCAAGCACAGTGGTTCTTGAGAAGATTTTTAAAGATGCCAGTAATTTTTCACGAAATCATAATTATCTCCCCTTGGAAGAATGCGTGGCCCTTCATTTGAACAAACTTGAATCCCCTTTACTCAAAAATACTTTGTGGCAAGTATGGTTGAAATTGGCCCAGTAGTTCTTGAAAAGAAGATGAAAATGTGAAAAGTTTACAACGACGACGACAGACAACGGACAAATTTCGATCAGAAAAGCTCACTTGAGCCTTCGGCTCAGGTGAGCTAAAAAGGGGATACATTTTGTAGACTGTCTGTCCAGTTTATAAATACTCAATACAAGTAAACGGGTCACGGTGCATTTTTTTAGTGGAAATGTGCAGAAAACCTTTCTTGAAACTTCAATAAAAACATCATATAAGATAATAGGTGCCAATTTACATAAGCTTGTGTCTATAGACGGTGAAAGTAATCGAACAAAAAGACCGTGAAAGTGTAACAGGTTTTTTTTTATAGTACTCCTGCGGCTCAGGTTCTCACAGTTTATTAAATGTTGAATGCATAAACAAAGCTCTGAAAATATCAATAACAAATTATAAGTATTTAGAAAACAAACATATTACATTTATAATATTATTCATGGTGAATTTTAGGCATGATTTACTTTATAATAATACATCATAAAAGTATTACACGTTTAATATACTGAGTACTCGATAAATACATGGAAAAGTAAGAGTTAGTATTTCCCTTACATCAATCTTGAAAACGAGAATATATATCGAACTATTTCCAACAAAACTATTACAATAAAATGAATTCAATAGTTCACAAATCTATTTACAATAATAATTATATACACAATAAATAGAAAATAATAGCAGGTATACCTGATTGTGGATCAGAACTCAAACAATATCGGCCATCCGATCAAAAAACATTTATATCAGTCTCTGTCCTGAGGTCTCGTCTCAGTATAAGTTATCTTATGTAAATTGATACCAAAATATATGTATATCCCTCTCAATGGTCTAATACCCAGGTAGCACAAAACATTTTCAAAACATTTTATTGCAGTTATAAAAAGGTTTTTTCAAAACATTTCAGAGTAAACATTTTTAAAATGTTTTAAAAACATTTTTCTTTCCCATTGTAACATTTTAAAAACATTTTTAAAATGTTTTCAAAAAGGTTAAAGTAAAATCTTTAAGGAACATTTCTAGAAAATGTTTTTGAAACGTTTTAAAAATGATTCCAAAGGTATGTCTTGTTTGCATATATTAAACAGTTTCATATTACGTTATAAAAATGTTTTTAAAACATGAAATAAAACATTCCTCTTCTATATATATGAAACATAGTAGTGTTACGTTTTTAAAACATTTCGAAGGAACGTTGTCAGAATGTTTTTAAAACATTCTTAATATTGCTTATAGTTTAATATTTAAATGTTTCAGTGTTGGTCGTGAAAATGTTTTTAAAACATTGAACAAAATGTTTTCTCCTCCGACAACAGAAACATTTTATTTGGAATTTATGCAACATTCTGTAGAAACATTTTCAAAATGTTTTTAAAACATTTATATCATTGTTAATATTAATGCATTTGTTTATTTTTAAAGTATGTTGTAATAATGCTTTAAGAACATTGACTACAACGTTTGTCCTTTTAAAGACTTAAACATTTTATTTAGCACTGATGCAATATTTTGTAATGTGATTTTCAAAGTGTTTTTAAAATATTCATGAACTAACCCAATTTTTCTGAAAAAAAATATAGAATATCCAAAGAGGATTGAGATTAAATGAAGAATTGTTTTTAAAAAATGTTCCGAAAACATTATCCCTGTTTTCAAAAATTCTTATTGAGTTGACAGACATGTAATCAATACAAAGTTCACTGAATAAACTAAAGATACTTTAATTTAAAAAAGAAAACAAAATAATAAGCAAACTGATTACAATAATTAACACAGCCTGATTTTTGACTATCTCCTCTGTTTGCATCATATTTCTTATACGCCAATGCAGCAGATTAGGAGTGGCCTCACTGGTCAGTTTCAGTGTCATGATAACCTTGTTATGCAATTCTCCTGCTGGGCAGCGCGTTAGAGTGTTTAGTGGTTTGCAGCTTATCTAGGCCAAAATTTGAATTCTGGTAAACAGGCTGTGCGCGTTTTCTTGTTGCTGATTTTCAAACAAGATTTTTGCATCATATAAGCCAGAAGAATTAGCGCTGGATTATTAAAACCTGCTTTGTGAGTATAATTTCATCAGAAATTTCAAAGGATTATTTTTAAAAGTGACTTTTCTGTTACCAGTACATCATTGTATTTTTGTATACATTGTGTAGCAATAACAAAGCTACTATGTATTTGAATTGAATACTTTAGGCAACAATAAATATTCCTCCTTGTCTTATGTTGATCATAACTCAAAATATCTTTTTATTGAAACATGAAATCATATTGCAGTTAGATGACAGTTCCATCAACAGACTTGAATTTCATTCGAATTGCCACATTTGAAAGAACCGCCTCCAGCTGATAAAGGCATTTTTTTTAATATGTAAATATCATTGCTCTTTATTAATATTTTTGTGTTTTAGTTATGAACATGCAACAACTCTAATTCTTTTCATTGATGCAAATGGGAAAATTTCATGTGATTTTGTGATTTAAATAAATGTTATTGTATATTTTCATTATTTAAAGATCTGATGTAGACGGATGACTTAAATACCATTATCTCTATGTTTACAGGTTTTGCTTTACAGAAAAGATCGAGCGTCTTGTTCAATTCTTTCCGAGGACAGACTCCGTGTAAAGTTTATCAAATGTGTGCGATTCCATTTACATAGTAGATCCGCCGCTCTGTGGAACCTACACATGTACATGTAGATACATGCTTTTTGCGGGATCGTAAATGATAACAGTGATCTAGGCCTGTTTATTCTTTTTAGTGGGAAGGATTTATGTGATTCTGTTGTTTTTAAATTCAGAGAATGGAATTATTTCCTTTAAAAATACCTGTTGGGTTAAAACAGAATACAGTGACTCAGAACTTGTACCGGAAATGGAACTAAAATATGTTTCTCATATTAGATAAGGATTTGTATTAAAATTTGTAAAAAGTGAATTCATTCAGTTGTGATTAATTCTTTGAGAGTTATAATTAAGATGAAATGTATGAAAAGCGCTTTTAAAATCATACAAAATGATGTTGATATCATTTAATGAAAATTAAGTGACATTTCAGGAAAGAGATGTCATTGCAACATTTGGATAAAATGTTTTAAAAACGTTTTAAAAACCATACAAAATCACGTGAATAAAACATTTTCAAAAATGTTTTAGTAACATTTAAGGAAAATGTTCTGATGACATTTGCTGAAACATTTTGCTAAAATGTTTTAAAAACGTTTAAAAAACCATACAAAATCACGTGATTACAACATTTTTAAAAAATGTTTTCGTAACATTTTAATAAAATGTTCTGATAACATTTGCTGAAACATTGTGCTAAAATGTTTTAAAAACGTTTAAAAACCATACAAAATCACGTGATTAAAACATTTTTAAAAATGTTTTTGTAACATTTTGAAAATGTTTTTAAAACATTTTAAAAATGTTTTTGTGCTAGCTGGGTATACAGTTAAAGTATATCAATGGGGGAGTTAGCAAGATTCCAGTTCAGTTGGTCGAGGGGAACTGGAATCTTGCTAACTCCCGCAATGATATACTTTTAACTGTTTTATTATACCGATACAAACATAAAATTTAGAGGATTCAGATAGCTTGATTTCAAAGTTGGGATTAGTTCACATAACTAACACACGGGGATTAGTCCATTCACATATCATACCAATATATAAAAGTAAAATCTAGAGGATTACGTTTAAGCGGGAATTAGCTTTCAAAGCAGGGATTAGCTCACTTGACTAACGCACGGAGATTAGTCCATTCATAACGATTTCTAGGGAATTAGTCACATCTAACGATCTAATGTTATAAAGGGAAAAAGTCAGTAGAGGTATATACTAACCAATACACAAATAGATCGGCGGGAAAACGTCCCTGGCCAATCGCAAGCATGGATATTAAAACTGACCAATAGTATAATATATACCCTCAGGATAAGTAATAACTTCTAGAACATAAGTAAAGACGAAAACCAAATGATGTTGTACAGTAATATTTTTTTAACGGTGCACGCAAAACTCCGCGAAAACGAAACGTTGCGCGATTCTAAAAATAAAATAATATATGCGTGAATATTTAGTCACTGAACTAAATAATATAATATTCACTAGGTAAAATAAATTAAAATATCACTCTATCACACATCGGACAAAAAGACCGGGTATAAACAAACTCAGAGACGAAACGCCTAGAATGTTAAAGAGTTAACTGTGTTGCTATGACGTCATGGGCACCTGTTTACCTTACATTGGAGTGGGAACTTGAAAAATGGCTAGTAGCATAACAGATAATTTACTGCTTGTTACAGATTCATACAAGGTAAAATTGCAAAATATGAAATATTAAACATTGATAGGTTAAAAAGAGATTTTTCTCTCTTTGTTACAGATATGTTTTTCGAAGTATATAACTTAATACTGGAAACTATTTTTAAAGTCAAGTTTCGCTTTTACTTTTCTTTCCGTTACTCGATTAGTTAATAGTCGGATTGGGGAGTAAATATCAAAAGAAAGGAATGTAAAACTTCCTATAATACTATGACTGAACTGATAATCAGCCAGTTGACTTATGACCATCACAACTTTGTCATTTATAGATCCCTTTATAGTTTCATTAACTTCCCGTTCCTTTGGCCCTAACCAAGCAGAGCCAGAACTATTTATATTTACATAAGTAAATGCATTTGATACAGAAACAAACCCCGGGCCTAGAACACATAAATTGTTGTAAATAGAAGAAGAAGATTAAGTATTTTAATTGTTGTGTCCTGTACTGATGACTAGCACAGGTTTAAAATGAACTACACTGTAATTAATAACCCAGGTCTTCAAAACTTGATTAGCCCCTGGAAAACCAATTTATTAATTAAATAAAGATGAAAAACCAACAAAACAAAGTGATTGTTTTTGTAATAAGCAAGGTCAAAACTAACAGGAGATGAAATTTATCACATTAATTATATGTTAGATCGCATTTAAAAACAAAAGTAACCATTTTTTACTTGTATGTACTTTAAATGTAAAATGTCTATAGATATCTGAGTTAACCAAGTAGCAGTTTACTAACTGATATATTCGTATTGTTTAATGGTTAACCTGTTATCCAGGAACCAGGGCTCGACATTAACTTTTTTTCCTACTTGTCCATTCGGACAAGTGACCAAGACATTAACTTGTCCGAACTTGAATTTCACTTGTCCGAAAAAATTTCAATAAAGATCTAATACTGTCAACTTGAAAACTAAAATGAAATCCATTACATGTGCTTGATTGATTCATGATCTTATTGATAAATACAACAAACACATAACACAAAATTTTATCTAGACTTTCTGTCCTAACAACAACATAAATGGGACTGTCAACATCAAACAGAATCCAAACTTCGTAAATTCCATGCCTTTGCAGTAGTATGCAATTAGTGAACTTCTATCCCGATCGAGTGTGAACTCAACTACATAGCGATCCATATCGAGATGGAAGTTCGGTATTAGGAACATACTGCTTCCGTCTTTGAACTTCAGTACCGGTAAATGTTGGACAGTCGTTCTTTTTATTATTTTGAGACTTCTTTACTTTAAATGCACTTGTCCAATTGGACAAGCGGCCAGCAATATTCACTTGTCCGTGATTTTTTTTCACTGGTACCGGACAAGCAGACAAGCGTTAATGTCGAGCCCTGGGTACTCACTTACTACACTAATTTTCATAGAAAATTTCTCAGATATCCAACTTCAATATTACCTATATAATTAGCTGCAGAACTGTAGCATTATGGTTTTATATTTTATAGTCTTTGACCATAACGCTACAGATCCCATCCTCATAATGTCAAGGTTTTGTGATTTCGGAACTCCACACAAACCCTTGACATAAGTCGTTATTTAAAAGTTAGGCTTGTGGTTACACATGATGTAATGAGTAATTATAAACTAACCAATGAGAATATATTTTTCAAATCTGTCATTATCAAATTGCCCAACTCCAGAGCATGTCTTTTGTAATTGTAAGGAGGACGATCTTCAAAAAATTAATCCCCGATGTTTCATGTAAAGTAACTAGTCACAAATCCTACAATATTGACACTTTCCATTTTAAAGATGAATCATATTTGTTTATAAAACTTAACCTACAATAAAAGCTGTTTTCTGATTGGTTCCAGTCCTAGACCAGGAACAAATGAAATAGTAGCTTTCTAGCCCAACTTTTAAATAATGACTTATGTCAAGGGTTCGTGTGGAGTTCCGAAATCACAAAACCTTGACATTGTGAGGATGTACAGATCCCATAATGCAAATATGGTGCAATTTATGGTGCAAGATTTCTGCACACGGTTGGGGAGAATTTCGCCACTTTCCAGCATTGGTCAGTCAACTAACCTTCATTCCCTATAATTCTAGATATATTCTTTAAAACTCACTTGTTTTGAATTTTTTGTCAAATGGCAGAAAATTCAAACCAAGCGAGTTTATTGGTCTGTAGAGATGACTGAAAAGGGTTAGGAGGTGGATAAAATATACAGGTTGCTTAAAGAAAATATCTAGATTTAGAGAGCGAAAGGTAATTGATTGACCAATGCTGGAAAGTGGAGAAAATTCTCTCCAATCCTGCTCAGAAAATCTTGCGCTGTAAATTGCACCATGTTTGCATTACGGGATCTTTGGCGTTATTGTCAAAGACTAATATAAATAACCTTAAAACATTTTTGTGACGTCATCTTTTGTTAAACCTGGTTCAGTAAATTTCTTATTGTCCTGCATGCCGTCCAATAAGTTACCTGTAGGTGTCCAATAAGATTCAACTTATTGGACAGGTACAGGTAACATTCGAATGAGAACAAAGGGCAACAAATTAATAAACAGCACTGAAAAGGCAATGATAAATCAAACAATTTAATATGAACAATGTAGGAAATTAGTAGCATAAAATGTAAATATTTCACAAAAAAATCCTATTGGAAATGGCACAAATAATCCACAGTGAATTGAATGTTTCACATTCATGATTGTAGAAGAATCCGTGGCCCCGATCATAAATTTCCTAAATTCACCTTTCATTACTAGATTCATTTCACAATGATTGATACACGGAACATTCACAGAATCTTGGGGAAACAGCAGAAGAATCAGAAGCATGCGTTTTCTTACACACAACCTTGGACTTTTTTGCTTAAATTATTTAAACATCCATTTTTCTGCCTTTAACCATTCCGCTCATGAAATTTCAACTGATTCTGTATTTTCGTTCAGTGATTTATGACCATTTGTCCATCTTGTCCCGCGTTGTTTGAGCGAGTGTCTTTCGTTGCTTTAAGGAGTGTCTGGAGTAAAATCCTTCCGAGTTCAAAACCTGCGCTAAATAGAGAAACTGTTTGTTGCATTTTTAAAAAAGAAAATACATCAGAAATAATCTCCCAATTTGACAGAAAGTGTTTAAAGAATGGTTGGAGTAAAATCCTTCAAATCCTGTTGCTTTACAAAAATTACGTGTAAAATGAGAAACTGTTTCTTGCAAATTCTGAAATATAAGAATATATACGGATTTCACAGAAGAAAACTTGAACTGAAATTTGCATTGGTGTTCTAAATTAATAGCATCATCAAAACACCTGAATCTGAAGAAGTCTTTGTTTAAAATGTACATCGTCATCTGTGGTTGTTGCGTCATAAAATGAATAAATTGTCAAGAATTTAATAGAACTAACTTATACGCATGAGTTGTATATATCAAAATGTTGCAATGTGGATAAAAAAAAAGACCAAACAAAGTTAATGTTCATATTTATCGATATATAACATGGCTTGATGATTCCTACTATTGAAAAAGTACAGAAGAAAAACCAAAACTAGTATTCTTAATGAACACTGCCAGGTAAAGTAATCCAAGCAGAACGAGACCCATTTTCCTGTGGCTGTACAATTAGTTAACATTGGAAGTGTTCGACATTGATGAAATGTTTTAAGTAAGTTATAAGCCTCAAACTGACCATTATGTCAGATATTAGAATCTCCTCGGCGCTAACACGCCTCGGACCGTCTAATATCTGACATAACGGACAGTTACTATATAGTTATATCATGAATATAATATCATGCAGCTACCATATAGTTATATCATGAATATAATATAACACACTTATCAGTCAGAGGTATAATGTAAACAAGTTATTGTCAACAATAACTCAAATGATTAATTTGTGGCACAATGAGTGATCTCCCTTTGCTTCTGTCCTACTTTTCCCCAGCATCAGTAACTCAAACAAGTTATCTTTCCAAAATAGTTTCAATAAAATAATAACTTGTTTAAGTTATTTTATGTCATTCCTCCCTAACTTCAGACCCTGTGCACCAAAGGTTTTTGCTCGTGCACCAAGACAAAAACAAATGTTTGATTAAATTTAAACCTTGTACAATCTTGAATTTTGGTAAGGGTTATCTCCCTCTCAATTTTTAAAAAACATATCTCAGGACTGGTAAGAAAAATCATTTTCAATTATCATTCTATTTCTAATGTTTTAATGTATCTTTCCGCCACAGTATTTATTGATATTCTTATTGTTTGAATTTTTATTTAAAAAAAAAAACGCTTGTCCCCACAGACTTCAATGCAATATTTGTTAATTAATTACTGCTTTACCTTAGTAATTACATTTTTGAAACTTTCTCTTGGTAAATCTTTTTGTACTGTGAAATGCTTTTACATAGGAAATATCTTTGAAATCTTCTTCTCAAGAACAACTAAGCCATTATTAGTCATATTTATACAGAAGCAACCTTAGGTATTGTAGAATCAGGTTTGTTCAAATCATGGTGCACAACGGAGGGGTCAGTTAAGTTTTGCATAAGAAAAAAATATAGGAATCATCTTGAAAAAATCCTCTGCTCAAGAACAGCAAAGCCATGATTAGTCATATTATTATAGAAGCATGTTCAGGTAGTGTAGATTCAAATTTGTTCAAATTAAGGGTGGGCAGGGTGGGGCCACAATGAGAGATCAGAGTTTTACATAGCAAAATATAGGATTGATTGATTGTTTTACTTCCCGTTCGAGAATTTTTCACTCATATAGAGACTTTACCATATACCGGTGAAGGGCTTCAAATTTAGACCTTTACTTGGCACTCAGGGCCATTGAGCAGTGAGGGATCTTTATCATGCCGAACGCCTGCCATGACATGGGGCCTTGGTTATTAAGGTCTCATCCAAAGGACCCACAACTTTCACTTCAAAGTGTTGAGGGCTTGGCAAAGGAATAGTTGCTACTTATTTTTTATCAACTTCTGTCAGTCGCGGCTGGGGACTCGAACCCAGGACCTTCCGA